TGGGAAAAAGGGTTTGTTTCAGCATACATTTCCACATCATACATTATCACCGAGGAGAGAGGTCAAAGCCAGAACTAACTTCAAGCAAACCTGGAGGAAGGAGCTGATGCAGAAGTTATGGAGATATGCTTCTTACTGGCTTACTTCCTCGTAGGTTGATTTGCCTACTTTCCTACAACATGCAGGACTGCCTGCCCAGGGTGGTACTACCTACAGTGCCCTTCCACATCAATCGTCAATTAAGAAATGCAGCATAGGCAGGCCACAGGCCAATCTAGAGGGCATTTTTTTTCCAATTGATGTTCCTGCTTTCAAATGACTCTATATTGTATCAAGTTGACATAAAAGTAGCCATTTCATGTACCTAGAGGCAAAGATTACTTCTTAAACATGCTGCTTCTAAAATGCCTTGAGTATCTAAAGTTGTCAACGCCCCAAAGAGTTGCTTAAATCCCTATTAGCCTATTTATTTTTATTTAGCAAAAAAATAAAACAAGACCAAAACCAAAGAATTTAAATGAAAGATACTTATAACACAAAGAAAAAGTATTTAACTAACTGCTGTTAAGATGTAGCAGGGATAGAATCACTGTCTGTCTAAAAGCCTATATATTTATAAACTACTTTTCCACTCACCCAGCTGGACTTGTAACACTAGAAATATTCCCTCATATCACTTTCCTTGGCTCTCTTTATTTGTGTAGCTTAGTGTTGAAATCTTTTGAGAGCCATCCTTCATTCCATGCATTAGTCGTTGCAATTAAATTTAAAAATAAATTTAGAAATTGTTTACAGTTCTTCCAGGAAATACCAGAAGCAAAAAGAGGAAGGTGTGAAGAGTTTCTGTAAGCCCTTTAGTTGTGACTTTCCCATGTTTTCTCCCTTGTTCTCCATCCCATTAGTATTCTAGTTAAACATGGATTTACTGAAATTTGTTTGGGAAAGATGAAATGAGGAGACTAGTACAATACGTTCACTATGTGCCAGTCTGGTTCACCATGGGACTGAAGCATACCATAAAATGAAAAAGGTCTCTACAGAAGGGATAAAAAGAAAGGATGTGGCCAGAAGGTATTGCTTGTTCTTAGAACCTCTGAAATCGTTCTTCAGCGTTAAACATTGGGTGACTGCCTGTGGATTATTTTTTACATTTCCCGGAGTTGGAATGGAGCCTATATATAAAGGCAAATCAAATTTCATCCAAGTCTATACAGTTGCTTAGTTTGGGGGAAAGCTGAGAACACCCAGCCATCCTTCATCTTTTTAACATATGGAGAAAATTTTAGAACATGAATTTATTGAGAACTTCCAGTTTGGTCCTGTTTACAGAGAAACATAAAAAGCTCACGTCCTTGCATCCTGCCCATGCCTCTCCTCTGCTTCAGAATTGTCTCTGGTCCTCTTCGTCATACTGATACTTCTTGCTACACTTCAGTACCACTCCCATTCCCTGGCTTCTGATTTACTTTCTTTCTTCTTGAACTTGTCTGTTCTTATCTTCCTACTCTTTATGGTTTTCACCTTTATTTTCCCAACTGTGTCACTCTTTTAGACTTGAACTTGGGTTAGTCAAACACGCTTTGAGTTTCCTGGCTGCAAGAAGAGTCTCTTGTTTTCTTACCACAGAAGCAAGAGATTGTAAATGAGAAGGAATTCAGTAATTATTTGTGATTTTATACATTTTCTAGCTATTTACAATTTTGATTGACTCTCTGGTTGACTCTTGGTGCTAAGGGAGGCAGGAGTTAGCCTTCCACAATAGGGTTATAATGTCTGCAAGCTGATTTCCAATACCTGCATCAACCAAGTCAGGAATTTCATTTCTAATTACATTCAGGTGTACACTCCCAAATAACAAGCTGAAGATGTCATAATGGATCTGCATAGTGAATAGTTGCTTACACAACCTCAAGCTTCATTGTCATAGCTCTATTTTCTGAGGATACTCAGAACAAGCAGCCCTGTCTTTTTCACATGACGAAGAAGACAGCAGGACCCCTTCCTAGGAGAAAGTCATCTCAGATATAACCATGAACAAGCTACTGGAAAGCATTTGCCTTGCTTTCACATAAGATAAAGACTAAGCTCTTCCGTTCCACAGTCTTAAAGTGAGTTACATAAAAATAATAGCAATAATAATAATAAGTGTGAAAATCCCATTTCATTGCAGGAATTTACTAGTAACCATGCCATGCTTAAATTATCTGAAATCTATAGTAAAAAATGAAATTAAATATTACATTCCTGAAGAAAATGAGATAATTTCAATTTAACCAGTCAGTATCAGAGTTGACCATTTCCTGTAAATTCATAGCTGATTATGTGATAAAATCAATGTCCTGGAAATATACTTCAAATTCTAACTGTAATTGTCTAGATATCGAGTATCAAAATGTACATAAACTATTTTGAGCCTATAACAGTCACATGGCTGTTTGTGTCTTAAAAATTAAGAATGTCCTTCAAAAGGTACAAAATAAGTTTAGTCAATATTAAAATTTCAAAAAAAAAACCAAATCTCAAATCCTTCACCTCTTGATTCACTACATTCTAAGCCAACATTTAAAATACAAACAGAAGAAAGATTTCAACTATGTTTTCTTTGATTTTATAACCATCAAATTCTTTAAGTCAGCATTTTCAATAATGAAAAATGGAAAAATAAATTCTTTCCTAGAGATTAAAAAACTTTCATTTAAAAATGTATTTTTCTAAATCCTGAGTTTCTATTATCTTACAAGAGTATACTTGATCTTTATGAAATTAACCATTATTTCTGTTCTCTAACCCACAAGTCTATTTTTGCTATTTACAGAGATTAAGTAATTATGGACTAAAAATAGTAATATTCTGATAAACTGATGTAGCTTTCTTTAAGAAAATATCACAATGTCATAGATCTCAAAAATTACCTTTGAATATGTACTTTAGGCTGTCTATTCATTTGCAATATATGGTTCTCTGTGGTTTTGGTGTATGTACATTATATTTATTAAGGAATTAGAATACAGAATTAAGTGAAAATTAGCAGTCATGCCTTTTTACTTAGACTGTAATAACTGTGCAATCACAAATGATCATTAAAGGAAGTGTGTACATTTGTGTTTATACAACATTCTCTAACAAATTGAAAGTCACATGCACACCTTTCAGAGGATATTTATATACACATAATAAAGTATCAAATTATTTTCCTAAACTATTTGCATATGAGGTTCATTCTGCTATACAAGGATTGACCTGAGACAGGCTGGACATTAAGTAAAAGAAACATATGTCAGCATTTTCAGAAGCCTTCCTTCTCATTATTTGTATCAATAACCCAGTGGTTGCCTCCTTTTGTACATTCACCCTTATCTCTAGTCTTTGCAATTTATTCAAATTGTGTGCAAAGATGGCAATTTCTTAAGAGTCAATCCACATGCAATGACATTATATTCCTGCATTATGAACAGGTCTGTGCTGTCCATTTTATGACTTCTCCATCTCAAATATAAGATTTTTCTTTTCTCGACAGAGAGGCTGCTTTGGAAGCGCTAGCTCCAATGTGTCTACCTTCCTTCCTCAGACTTTTTAGTATCTGAGTCTACAAGTACATGATATTATATTCAGCATCTTTATAATATTCTTTACTCCCCAAGAAGTTAAAATAACACAATGTGGAGGCCAGACCTGAAGAAACCATGTCCAAAGATTAATGTTTGAACTTGATAAGAAAGTACACCTGGTAAGACCATATATATATGACCACATATATATACATGGATGAATGGACATATATATATATCATATATCGAGCTGTGACTTTGGTGAGGAGTTTTCCTTGTAACCTATGAGGTGATAATGATATTTGGCGGCTTCAAAATAGACCCATGATTTCCATCAATGTGATTATAGTAAGCAAGCTATATATATTTTTAGAGACTCTGAGTCTGGGAATGTAGCTCAGGAGTAGAGCATGATGAGCACATGTGAAGTTTTTCTTTCCAGTCCCAGCTCTGAGCAATGAAAGAATGAATAAATAATTCTAAATCCATGATACCATTTTGTTTGAAAACCAGTGTTTGAGTTCTTAAACTTAGCTTCATTTATCTGTTCTATCTAACTTAATAATAACTGGCGTTTGATAGTGCTAGTTAAATATTGCTATTCGTTTCTGCTGCTTTGTAAAGGTGAGAATTTGGCTGTAACTTGGAGTCATAGAGTCATATGTTGGTTTCCTATGAAACGTTAAATAGCAATTTCTTTCTTTGCTTTACTTATTTTGCTTTAAGATCAGTATTCTGATGTGACTTCATTAGTCTTTACTTAATCACAAGGAGGTAGTGTAGGTAGTGTATTATATTTTCAAGGATTATTCAAATAAGCATGTACATTCTGGTACTGTGCACTATTGTACATATAGTATTAAACACATAATATTGAACATTATTTTCTCTCTAAGCAGAAATTCCTTAGTCAATTAATCAATTAATTAATTTTATAAAAAGCATAAACTTTGCTATAGAAAATTAGAGAATACATTCAACGGCATGGTTTAAAAATAAAACATTGTCATCTATTTTATTCACCTTTGATCATAGAGATGGGGTAATACAACACAAAGATATGATGGAATACACAATCTTCTTAGGTAAATATTTCTAGCGTAGAATCAGAGATAGAATTCAGTGCAGGCAAAGCAATGCAGGTGTAGTTGGCAAATCTTATACTAAAAGGGAGAGTGTTATCTTTCTTTTTATATAACCAAGTTATTAGAGAGAGAAAATCATTGTGCTTGTCAAGAATATGTATCTCTTTTGTGTCATTGTGAGAATTTTGTGTCTGTCTTTCAATATATATGTATGTATGCGCACAAAAAGTGATCTATTAAAATACAATTAATTATCAATCACTATGCAAACAATTTTTATTTACTGTTTGAAGAGAAAATAGAAATATACTAGTAAAGATTTAATAATACTAAATCTTCTCAAGAAAAATGTGAGACTATAACTCACCTCCCAATCCTGGTCTCAAACGATTGTCATAACCGTCCAGGAGTCGATCCAAAATCCTCGTGAAGACAGTGGTGTTGTCTTTAAGTTCATCTTGGGAAGGCTGTCCATAGCTGAGGAAAGAATAAAGAAAATAATAGCATGAAATTATAAATTTCCACTAAAAGCTCTTACTATTCAAAACCTTTCTCAGATTGTCTTACTTTCCTTGCTGTTGCGAGTTTGAAAGTAATTATAATTCTTGTCATTTTCTCATTTCTGACCTCATTGGTGACTGGCTTTTAATTTTAATATAGAAAATGAGTTCTAAGTCTACATTTTCAGTTCTCAGAAGGTAGAGAGTCTTAGAAGAGACAGATCTTCCCTGAGCAAGCAAGACTATTAACTCATACTATATAAAAACCATCTTGGAGGTTTCTATTCATATTATTTTTGTTTATCTACATACATACATCTATATGTGGGTTATAAAACTAATTCAAAGGTTCTTTTAAAAATTTAATATGCAAATTTTCACCTGCAAAACTTCCTTCTCCAATTTTCCTTTCCATATATTTGTGCTTTTGATTTTTGAATGCTCTTTTAAGATACTTAGGAAAAGAAGATATACAAATGATTTCTTAGGTTGATTACATTTTTATCAATGTGGAAAATTTTGATTTCCCCTAAGATGTATGACTAAATCTTGAAATTTTATTTAAACATTTATTTGGCTGAATTTTGGTCATTTCTGGGATTAAATTCAGTAGAAGCATTGAAGAAAGTCAAGATTAACACTCTTCATGTTAAGGTGCACAAAACCTTGTGCATTGGGTTTTAAGATACCACTGCTTAAGAGCACAGCTCAGGCTAGAATTCAGGCTTTTTCACCTTCTGAGCTAACACTTTATTTCCACCCTCTGTAGAGGAACGGCAATTCCTATTTCTTTCTGTTTGAGGATATGGCTTCTATCCCTTAGTGTTTCTCTTCTGGCTTTCAACCATATAGGGCTGCACTGCATATACTGTGTGTTTCTTATACCAATCATTTTGTTATCTACGCAGTTTTAATCTTATTTTATGTAATGATTAGCATGACACCTTCAAAATCTTTAGAGGGAAGCAATTTCTATCTTAGAAAGACTATACACTCCCTGACAGATTTCAGCGATAGCTCTGACCTTGAGTAGAAGGAGTAAGTGGATAAAGTGTGTAAAACTAAGAAAGGGTAACAAATCTACATACTTCATATTTGAATTTTATTATTCTTTTGCTTTACTCATGTGTAGTTACATAGTTAATAAACATACACAAAATAGTGGCATTTTAAACCAGAATTCACTTATTTGATAGAAACACCAAATATAATCTATTATTACTTCAGAAACAAATGCTGTCTTTCAAGTAATTGATTTCTTATAAGCAAAGTTCAAATACCACTTTTCTTTTTCTTAATTTTATAAAATTGTATTTGAAACTTGCAGATGAAAACATCACACACCAAGTTAACTAGACTGACTAGAAGGAAATAAAGAAGGTCTGACTGCAGATAATGGCCACTTTAAGGATACAAAAATATTTAGTTTTCCAGTTCCGTAATGGAAAAGTGCATAAAACACATTCAACATGAAAGGATAGAATTCAATGAGAATCTTCACTGCTCCTGTTCTGAATACCTATTCTGACTGCATAGAAGTTCATTAAGTTATATATACTTCCAATGACTATTCTTCTGATAGAGTTTTAATTCAATAGTTATAAGTAAACGTTCTCTGTGATGTTAAATAGATGAAATTTATTTCTATGAAATCATTTTTCATTCTCTTCAATTACACATTCATCCATCCATGTCACACAGATTGAGGACTTACTCTCCTTTAGCAAAATTAAGCATCTTGCTGTTTCATTTTGTTTTTTTAAATCAAATTTTCAGTGAGCTTGTGACTTCCCGCATGTCTCATCGGCAGACGACAGCAGTAAGGCAAAAGCAAAAGCAGTTTTCTGAAAGGGATTATTTATAAAAATTCATTGTCACAAAACCAAATGCCATCCACGTGTCTTCCAAGGACACTGGAAGGTCATCTTGATAAAGATGAAAAGGAAATACAAACACACCTTAGGATTCAGGAAACTCTCCACAGAGAAAACTCTTAGGGAGGAAGCAATACATTTAAGAGGGGAAAGAAGATGAGTTAGGGTGACGTCAGAGGGTACTTAGACTGCTAACACAACCCTCAGAATCCCTAGTATCTGTTACCTTTATCTGTGTTCCCTGTGTTTCCACAGCTTACGTAAAATGCAAGAAATCTTCTCAGTTTAGGAATCTCACTTTCAACAATGGTTAGCATTGGAATACAAATACCAAAGAGATCAGCCCCCTCCCAAACAAGACCAGCCCATCTATCTCATTTGGAATGAAATCTTCCTTTATTGTGATTTTGTAATCAGGCTCAGGTTCAACCTGACTATTCGTTCTCTATATAAAGTGCCAACTGCCACAAAAGAACCCCAGGAGAAAGATTAAGATGACTTTTGGGGGGTACAAATACTAATAACAGTGTAGAGTGCCCTAAACTGAATATGCACTTGGAAGATAAATGTCAGTTGCTAAACCTGCTTTTGATTCCATATGAACCACTCTGTAATAAAACACTGTGCACTAACTCCATCTACAGGTCATTATAATAGTAACACTTCATATAATTTTTCAAAATTCAGTCATCACTTAACTCCTCAAATTAAGAGTATCTGACAGTAATGTGTGTCTTATTCATCTGATATTTATTTACATGATAATACTTAAAAGTAATAAAAATAACACAGTCCACATCTCATTTAAAACCAGTCCTCAGAAATTTCTGCCTTTCCAGGTGACTCCATATCTCTGACTTTAACCCATAAAGATTCATTTCCTATTACATTTCAAGGAGTGCAGGACTTTGGCATATGGTGAATACATTCCAATGAGGCACAAGAATAAACTACTCAAAAGCTATTAAAGTAGATAAAGAACAATATAAACTATTTGGTCATTTAGATAGTTGCTATTACAATATCTCATATTCTTTATTGGATAATTAAAAAATATTTTTGTTAGTTCAACCTACTGAAATTTATTCACAGCATGCCTTCCTAGTATACATGCTTGATTAGCTCAGTTTAATTTTTATCTAGTATTTTAAAATATTCATCTGGTACAGCCCATCTCTGTTGGTTTAAAAATACAATATGCATGTGTTTATAGACATGACAATCAAGTTACAAATATTATTTTAAGTTTTCTACTCCCATGCTTTTACAAGTTACTCTATGATTTTTGCAAATGGTTAGAAATTTTCTTGTTGGAAAATTTACAACTTATAGGGCATGCAGAGTTTAATAGGGTAACTTTTCCATAAATTAGGAAACTGCATGCTTTGTTCAGTTACAAATGAAAACTGCAAAGTTCAATATCAGATTGCAAAGTTGAACTCATATATTTCTTAGCAAAATAGAACTTGTTAAGTGTATTCTAGCGAACATCCTAATAAGAAAGTTATTTTCATGTTCTATTCTTCTTTAGTTTTAGCTGAAATTTTATTGCAGTAAAGTTTTCTGAATTCCCTTAGTCATGTATGCATCCATGGACAATGTTCTTCCCCCTGATGGAATAAATGAAAAATTACAGAAATTTTCATGCAGATTTAAAATAAAGTGCCCCACCTTCTTCCTGACAGAGTGCTGAGAACGAGGGTCCAGGCCCAGAGACAGTCAGAGAGACCCCAACTTTTCTTCATCACGGGCTTGTGCAACTGAAAAGTGGAATAAGTAGAGATCAATGTGTCTTGCAAGAAACATCAGGTTATAACCACTAGGGCTGACTGAGGCAGTCCAGATGAATGCTTTGAAGTCAGGAAATGACCTCACTGGAATATGACACCTCATTGGAAGCAATGGAAACCTGGGCCATCCACTCGCCACTTTCCTTACCATCTCTCCATTCAGAAATAGACCAGTATTTTAGTTTAGCCTGTAAAAGAATTCAAGTTGAAATGCTTTCAGGTGACAATATTGCTCAACACAAAAGCTGTGAGTTGTTTTCTAAAATAGCCTTTAAATTTCCATTATTTGCCAACTTATTCCTTTCTGTTGTTGTTTACCATCTGAAAAAATTTGACCTTTGTGATTTGAGTCCCTGTGGCGCTCAAAAGAATCTGTCTTGAAAGATTTAAGCTTGGTGTCTGTATCAGGAGAGCATGTGGGTAGGTGGGAGGTGGGAGGTTAACACCTCCTGTTGACTGAATGCATCTCTGAATTCTGGATGTACCTTGATTTCAGAAGCAACTCTATTTACCTTTTTATAAACACCATTAGAAACACACTGTTGAATGCCAGAGTCGTGCTTCTCCTCTGGGATTGTTAAATATGCTCACTAATGTTTCTGTGAAGCTAAAGAATACACTTTATAGTCAGGCCATGTGCTTCTCTCTCTCTCTCTCTCTCTCTCTCTCTCTCTCTCTCTCTCTCTCTCTCTCACACACACACACACACACACACACACACACATCAATGCATACAAACATACCCACACATATCTTGCATGCATTCTCTAATTTATTCCAGGTTGCTGCTAGAAAATGCTTCATCTCAAACAGATGGAAGCTTAAGTAGTTTGCTTTGCATAAGAAGAAGGGGGTATTTATTCCCACTTAGGTAAAGTGCAATCAATCATTATCTGGTCGCTGAAATTTGGATATGGTAGGGGGATACTGCAAGAATAAAGGACTATAGAATGGCGGGTTTATAGAAATATATATGTGTATGTTGTATGCATTCATATAATTATGTGTGTATATATACACAATTATTAGGTCAAATTTTGACATTCTGTGCACCACCTGGTTAAGAAGAGATATAGTTACTTAAATGCACTGAAATTATTTCCAGTCCTACAGTGAAAACTATCCCATGTATTTTATTTTAACCACTCTCCTGAATCTTAACTCCTTAGTAAGATCAGGAATGGATAGATGGAAGCATTCTAAAATCTATTTTTTACATTGAGCACTCTCTAGTTCCATGTGGTATGCCTTTAAATACATCAACAAAATGCTCTCCACACTCTCCCGGATCATTCCAATCAGGAAAAACCCTCACAAACAGTCATGTAAGCAAGGAACCCGAATTTCTTTAGAGTGAAATGATGTAAAGATAAGAGCTGTGAGCTTCATCATAGCTTTCTCTTCCTTTGGTGACTGGTTTTTGACATACAGGAGTAGAATATGATATGACATCTTGGATAAATATCATTAAGTTAAAATATTGGATCCAAATCGCACGATGATAATTCATCCTTTAAAAAAAAAAATGACATCTGTTCTGAAGAGGAGAACAACTTCTCTTATCCCTATTAGTTCCCATTGATTCTAGAAAAAGGGAGAAAGTCCTAAAGGGGTGAAGAAAACAGCACCCCAAACCAAGACACCATGGCTTTTGCACTCCTCTGATATCTGGAGGAAAACAAAATCTGCCATGGCACTTCAGTTGTGGAGGAAGAAAGTTTCTTGCGAATACAAGCCTAACAGTTGAAAAGGGAGCACAGAGCTGTTTCCTTACCCATTTCCACCTCCATCCTGCCCCTAGCCAGACACATGCTCCACTACCCACCTCCCCTGCCACCCAGATCAAGGAAGTTCAGCCTCTCATTTCCCGAATGAGAGAGACCCCTACGCCAGAGGGCATTTCAGCAGCGGCAGCTGGGAAGGGGCGAAGGGACGTGTACAGGCACGGTGAGCGAGTCTTCCCTAGCATGAAACAGGGTGACAGGTTTTCTGTTCTAGCCTCTTAACTTCAGCTGATGGCAAGCCCCAGCGCCCCTCCCCAACTCACCCCAGCTCCCCTTGGTCAAAAAAAAAAAAAAAAAAAAAAAATCAAAACAACATGTCACCACCCACCCACCCCTCAGGGTACATTCAAATCTGCCTCAGAGAGGAGAGAAGGAAGAGAGAAAATTCTGCTCCTATATCGCTGCAGTTTTCGCCCTGAAAGAAAAACATTCCTTGTTTCTACCTGCTCCCAGCTTCAGCTCCTGTCCTGCTGGCTCCTGCTCTCTTCCTCACTAGAGCATCCGTGCCTCTCCAGCTACGACAAAGGCACGTTGCAAGCTCTGGGTTTACGCGGTCCGAAGTCTCACTTACCTCGGGGCCCCCTCTGGGCACCGGATCGCTCCAGACCGGGGAGAAAAGTGTGGGAGAGAGGATCGCGGTGAGCTGGAGCTGCGCGAGTGTGCGAGCGCGGGCGCGCCGGGCGGAGGGCGTCCTCGCGCCGCGCTCACTCACTCGGTCTGAGCCATCATGGACTCTGCGTGCTCCTGCACTGGAGATTTCATACCCAAATTTGCTTCCCAATATCCAATCTGCAGCTATACAACAAAAGATTTCTCTGTACCAAGACAGTAGTAATACGTCCCAGCGCAAACCGGATGTGAAATAGGCGGTGACTTCATGCCAGAGAGATTTTATTTTAGAAAGGAAGGTGGTACCAGCCACTGGATCTGGATCTGGACACCAATCCGCCCATTTTTTATATGCAGCGCAATTTAACTTGAACCGCTCTGGCCCTAATCCGCTGCTCTGTAGCTACAGACTCAAATCTTTCTTCAATCTGCTACAAGCATTCCTTTATTTTGGGGGGTGGGAGGTGGGACTGGAAATGGGGGGAAGGAAGGGTAAAAAGGGTTAGACATGGGGCTACACTTAGGATTTTTTCTCTCTTGCGATTTATGAGCACACAGTTCTAAGGTGTGCTCATTAGAGCAAACCTGATCCTTGCAACTCTGCTACCTCTGATCAAATATTTAACCACTGCATCCATATGAATGAACACAAGCTACTAAGCAGGGAGATGCAGGCTTACACGTGTGGGGAGCGCTCTGTCCTCTCGACTTGTTCTCCCTCAAACACTCCCACACATATGTCTAAATCCCTGCATGTTGCAGAGCCAGGAACAGTGAGGGACAGCAGGGAAGAACCCTGCCCGCTAGAGAATGGGCCCCTAGCTTTCAGTCCTTCGTACTTTTCTCAGATTCTGAGCGCTTTGCACCCCGCCTTTTATCTGTAGCATAGAGGACAGCCAGACAGGCTTCGGAACCGGGTTTTTAACCTTTGTCTGTGTGCGTTGTGGAGAAGAAAGCACAGAGGTCCCTAACTCTGGATTTTGCTGGGTTTCCGAATGTGGAATATTTAACTTCACATAAATCATTTTCGGGTTTGAGAGACATATCTCCATTTCCGGAAACATGCCTTTGCCGTGAACTCCATCATTCTTGGATCAGAAAAATGGGAGGGGGGAGGGATGTTTAGGAGTCAGGCCAAAAAAAAAAAAGTAGCTTTTTTTTTTTTCTTCTCTGCCCTCTTTTATTACCTTCCCTAGGAGTTCTCCACCTACAGATAATTATACACTCAGGGAGTGTGTGTGTGTGTGTGTGTGTGTGTGTGTGTGTGTGTGTGTGTGTTCGACATGCTCCTAACTGAATTTTCAGGGAATGAACGATGGCTGTGATTCCTTGTTCAGGTTTTGTGAATGACTATAGCTCAGGTCATGGGTGCTATCTTCCTGGGGGCGCTGGTAGACAGGACCAGCACTACCAGGAGCTGTCTTTCAGCACTTAAACACCACAGGAAGGAGATGCTGAAAATGAGAGCATACTTCTGGTGGATGAAGTCCGAGTTTTGGTAAGCCCGCTGGCCATTTTCTTCTGGGTGTACTTCTCGCAGAGGAGAAATTTGAAACGGAGGCTGAGTGTTGTCAAAAAAAAAAAATATATAAAAAGAAAAAACTAATTAGCCGGTCCCAAGCACGTCTGTGTTTAGTATTCTACAAGTGTTCTTAGCTTATGCTGCAAGGAAATCAGCTTGTAAGATTAAAACTTAAGCTGGGTGGTTGCATTGATGTGGCCTACAGAATGGTAGTCCACATTCATACGTGACTTTGTTCTCTTTCTCTTGGGGGGTAATTTACTAACAAAGTATTTTAGAGATAAACATTTGGAAGGCAAGTTTGAAGTCTGACTTCAGGTGTCACTTTTTTAAACAGTAGTGTGTTGTCAGTGAACCAGGTAACAAACGTGGATGCACTCTTACACTGAAGTCCACTGCAGTTCCCTCATGCGACATATTTATTTACTTATCTATCAATTTACATATTCATTGAGCAGTTTGTAAAGCAAAACTGACTTTACTAAGGTTCTGAAACCCCAAGTTAACAACTATAAAGTGTCTTCTTATCTCTCAAAAAATATGTAATATTCCATAGTTTCAGTGCCTTTTGAAAAACAATCAATAGTCATTAAAAAGTGATATTTTTTAAAGTTTTTTCTTCTCCTGTTTAAATTATTGTAGCTTTTTTTTTTTTTTACATTTCTCAACCAATTGGGGAAAACTTTAGCTCTTATATCTAATGTCATACAACCAAATCTCTATTGATTATAATTTTTGTAAACATTGGCCCTGAAATATTATCATTTGAGCAAAAGTCTCTTTGAACAATTCCAATCTCATACTACTTTATGCACAATAACAACTGCATGCAGTTATACAACATTTCTACACACTAAAAAGAAATACATATGAATAATTTTGGAGCTGTAATGTGAATGCAGAAATGGAAATGCCCCTTAAAATAAAAAGCAAGGTAGAGTATATTACATCATTTCCATGTATATAATCTCGGTTCTGGTATCTATCCCCACATATGTTGGATAAACTTTGCAGTACATATACATTTGTTTTAGCACACTTATGTTTTTAATAAAGTACATGCATTTAAAATATTAATAACTTCATAAATCCCAAAACAGTAATCAGCATTCTAAATTAAGAATATGTTTTTAGTTTCCTATCTGAGATATTAATATATTCCCCGATTTCCAAATAATAAAACACAAAAAATTAATAACAAGAACCCAATTTATTTTATATTGTCCAGTTCCATTAATTCTTTAAGATAGTTGATGGCATATACTTTTCCTGTTACATCTGGAATAAATCCTTACAAAGTGTATGTACTTGATGAAATAAGTTATTGAAGTAGCATAAATCATGATGTCTAACATTTCTAAGTGTTTACTTTGCAGAATTATGTCTTATTTATTTAGCATAGCTCATTCAACTTAGTTCTTAAAGCAAACCTTAATATACCCATTTTACAAATCTTTCAATACCTGTGTCTCAGAGAGATCAAAACAAACTCCCAAGGTTACATGGATCATGAGTGAATAATTCTAGGATGGTAGGATGGAAATTAAATCTTAGGAATTCAAAGTTCACTCATTTACTCACTTGTTCATACTTCCATATCTTTGTTTCTTTCTTGTGAGGCCATGTGTTAAACAAACATTCTTTTCATTTGTCTTGTGCTTGGACTTGACCATTTATGTCAGTTACTTGTTTTCCCTCTGATATCAATGGACATTTTAATTTCAAAAGTATCCCCTTCTAAAAGTTAAAGAAAGATTGGATAGTGAGGATATACTTATTCGTAGCAAGAGTCTTTGTTTTGAAGATCTGTGTGTTGAGAAACAACACACAATTTCTTTTTTATTTCAGACTTCTGGCTGTAGTTTATTTTCCCTCTTTCTCACGAAACCAATGGCTAAGAACTTCTTAATAGTTACTAGTTCTTAACAGGAGGAATTTGAGGTCACACCTAATACCAGAGGTCCTAGGAAAGCCAAATAGCTTTATCTCTAGTTGTTGCAGTCTGGTCCATATTGCTTTCTTTGTCATTCTTAAATGACAGGAAGCCCTGACCTAATTGAAGAAGTGGAGCTGGTTCTATTCAATAGAAAACTGCTTTTACTTTCTCAACTAAATGCATATTAAATGAGAGTAAAATAATGAGTGTTCTCATTTATTCAGAGAACCTTTTTTTACCATTTACAAAATAATGTGAGGTGAGGATAAAACATAAGTAAAAAAAATCAGCTTTAGCTGAAACCTGGAACAAAGTCACTTTTAAAAAGATATTGGCATGGCTCAGATATGTGTGTGCTGAAAATATTTCTCAATATTAACATATTATGAAGTATGTTTAATAATCCATAACAATAAATATAAATGTTGTATTTTAATATATATTATCTATACATAAATGAATAATTACATACAGTATTTCCAAATTTACTAATTCCCCTAGTATATAATACAGACCACCCTACTTAAGGAACCGTATAAATATATTGCATAGAATATTCCTTTTGTATAACTGACACTGAAATAAAACAAATGGGATTTATAAAGTAGGATGTTTTTGTACTTTATTTGTGATACATTTGTCATCTAAGACAGCATTTTTTTCATATTAGAAGCATAGTTTAATAACTGCAGGCATTAAGGGACATGTAAATACAATGTAAAAACAAAAATTGAAAAGGCCATTTTTTCCATTTGTCTCAGATGTGTCCTGCAATCTGATAGTGTAGAATGGTCATGCCCACAACAATGGCAGATTGTAAGAGTTACATCGTTTCCCAATAATATTTGCAAAGGAGGTAAATACATACACACACACACACACACACACACACACACACACACACACATATATGTTATAATTTATATATGTAAATGTTATAAATTATACACACACATATATGTATGAGAACTGAAGTCTCTGACATGTAGCAGTTCTGAGGCTGGGTCTATTTCTAGTGTTCTGCAAATACCATTTACTGAATTTCTAGTGAGGTAATAATACCTCATATATGAGTCACAGCATTGCATGGGAAAATAACTCATTTGACTCCTTCGTTTGAAATATATATTGTATCTAATGAATACACACTTTTCATTATATCCCTTATTATAAGTAATATATTAATTTGCTGAAATTTAACACACTTTTTAAAAGAGGGGCCATGTAACTCACAGTACTGGGATCAGTATTCCCTTTTGTGTGAGAATAAAATTCCAAAAGAGAGGTCATCACACAAGGTCTTAGGAGAATCTAATTCCCATGTCATCTTAAACCAAGGAATATGTTCTTATATGTAGGGTGTTCTGACAAAAATAATTGTTTTTAATGAATTTTAGCTATACATTATTTAACATAGTTCCCAAACCCAAACCTTGAAGAGAATATGAGGCCTCACTGAATCCACACAGCACATGATCCACAGGTACTTCACACAAATATAGATGCTCCCAAGGACAAACTTAAAACAACTTCTCTTCTGTACAATAAAAAAATAACATACATACATGTGCAGGAGACAGGGACGGCTGAATAGTTATTTAAATAGGACACTCTTGAGGTTTCCTCTATTGGTAATTTTCAATACAGTGACTCACAGGTAACCTGAATTCACTCATTTTCTTTAAGAGACTTTTCACAGATGCCAAATCCATCAACTCGAGTAGATAAATTCAGATTTATTTAGAATTGAATGGAATAAGAAGCTGACGGCTAGAAGTGATTTTATTTGTTTAAAAAGAAATAGTCTTCATATTGCCCAAGCCCTGAACAAGGGTTTTCAGCTTAG